GAGGCGGAAGCGCGGCGCAGCGACAGCCTCCCACAGCTGCTCACGCCACCCCGCACTGCCGCCTGAGGATGCACCCGATGCCCAGTGACTCACCACGTCTCCACTCTCAGCTCCTCTGTGCCCCAACCTGCAGCAGCAATCATCCAAGCGCTCACACGCTGCAGTCTGGGTTTAACCCCAGGCTGAACGGGGCGAGGCCCTTCTTGCTGGCTCTAGCTCCTGGTTTCCAGAGCGCGGCTGCCAATTTAACTACCCGCAGGGCGGACGAGGACGGGGCTGTCCCTCCACGCGGCAGGAAGAAGGCAGCAGCGCTCGACCAAGCTCACGACCTGGCTCTGCTGCAAAGGGCACACCGCCAGCAGCCACTGGCAGGGGGAGGCGGACAGCGGCTGCGCTCTCTCCCGGAAATGCACTTGTTATTAGAGGCTGCTTGGCAGGCACCGATCCTCACTGCTGTGCCACCCAAGGGAGCGGGGTTCCTCCTGCCCTTGCCAAGTGGGCTAATTCTCCCTCCTTCCCCCCCCGAGTGGAGGCAGCATCTCACCCCGGCTACAGCTGCCGAATCCCCAGCCTGGAAAGGGCTCCTGCAGACGCAGGAGGGACGGCACCAGGCTACGCAGCTCCACTGCATGGGAGCAGCCATCTAGAGTCAGGCCAAGGGTCCCCCAGCCCGGCCGTCTCCAACAACAGCTGCAAGTGGGAACCCAGGGAAAGTCATAACAAGTGCGTATTTAGCAAAAAGAGTGCATATGTTACACAGTCCCTGACTTCTTCAGCGCAGGGCTCTCCTGAGCCTCATGTGGTTTGTCTATATAGCAAACCTCAAAAAATCTCTCATTTGAGTACTTGTCCAATCTCCTTTTAAGACCACGTAAAATTTCACTTCCACATCATCCTTTAGCGAGAAGTTCCACTCCTTGAGAACCCACTTCCTGGGTTTCAGCCCAGCTTTGATTAACTTTATTGGATGCCCCAATTCTTGCATTACAGAGACAGTGAACTAACCTCTCCAGCCACCCTGATCAAGCCCCGAAGATTTTTCACTGCTAAATCTTCTCTTTCCCACGCTGAAGAGTCCCAGCCTACTCAGTCACTCCTCATAGAGAGGCTGTTCTGTACCTTCAATCCTCTCTGCTGCCCTTCTCTGATTCTTTTCCTGTTATAATATATCCTTTTTAGAGGAAAAAAGATAAGGCCACCACATGTGTCATCATGCAAAGCATTTCTTATTCACAAGGGAAAGGAAACCGACAGCCATAACTGGGAAATCCCATAGGATTCCAATGACTGAACCTGCCCAGACTCCCAGCGCTTTGCTACAGGTCAGTCAGCTGCAAAGATAAGGCTCTTCTAAAAATACGCATCTACTGTAGCATTTGGGGTAGAGATAACTCCATTGTAAGTGCACACAGAACTACAGATGAACCCAGTCTTGATCCACTATCCAGAAGTACAAAAGCAAGTGCTTACAGGCTATGTGACAAAAGGAACAAACATTAGGATGGAAGTGGCCTTGAAGACCGGCATGGAATTCCTTCAAAATCATCTGGAAAAATTACCAAGATACAGATCTTAGAGGGGTCAGTTCCATCCGTGGTCTACATCCAAAGTCACAGTCACAGAGGTTAGGATCAGGAAGACCTTTGTGTCTATCTGCCATCCCAGAGCGTACACAAACACGTGTGCGTGCACACACACACACACACACACACA